GACGGAGGGGAAGCTCCTTGTGACTGCGCTCTCTGTGGCGGAACATCATGGCGTGGGCTGGGCAGTTCATGGGCTTGAGACCGAACTGCTCCTTGTCAACGTCAAGAAGGAACATGTCCTCCTTGTAGTGGGCCAAATGGCCAGACTGCTCCCAAAGAGACACGTTAAACATATTGGGGGTCATGACCTCGTCGTAGCCACGGGCCCAGTACTCCTCCTTGATGTAATCCATAATCGCATTGTGGATGCGCATACCGTGAGGCAGCCACATGGCCGAACCAGGCGAGGACTCCTCGAAGTAGAACAGCTCCTGCTGCTTGCCAATCAAGCGGTGGTCACGCTTAGCGGCCTCCTCCAAAAACTTCTTGTGGGCAGCCATCTGCTTCTTGTCGGGGAACGAAACACCGTAGATTCTCTGGAGAGAGTCGTTGTTCGCATCGCCCAGGAAGTAGGAAGCCGAGTTCTTCATGATGGCAAAAGCCTCAATTCTGCCGGTATCTGGTACGTGGGGTCCTCTGCACAAATCGATCAAGGGGCCGTTTCTGTACACTGTTGTCCTGGTGCCATCGGGAATCTTGTCGTTGATGATGTGCTGCTTATATTTATTGTAGGCGAACATCTTGAGCAGATCCTCCTTGCTCATCTCGAGTCTCTGGAATGGCTGCTTCTCCTTGACGACCTTGCTGACAATGCTCTCGAGTGGTGCCCAATCTGTGGAATGAACAGCGGCACCGTCTGGCAGAGCCATCTCGTAGTAGAAACCGTTGTCTACTGGGGGACCAATGCACAACGAACAACCGAATCTCCGCTCGCAAGCCTCTCCGAGAATATGTGCACTGGAATGCCAGAACACAAATTTGCCCTGGTCATCGTTGAAGTCGAGGAGCTCAAGCTTGCAGCTCTTCTCCAGGGGACGCTCGAGATCCCAGAGTGTCTCGCCATCGAGTCTCGCAACGACGGTGCGCTTGTAAAGGCTGTTGGAGATGCCCTTGGCGATCTCAGCGGGGGTGGTCTCGTAAGATTTGCCGACCTTGATGGTGCCATCTGGCATTGTGATTATGATGTCCTCGCGGGGCCTGCTGGCAAGTTCCTCCTGTTGCTCCTTGTACAGACGGTCGAACAAGGCGATACGCTCCTCGAAGAAGGAGGGTGGCGGGCTCAGCTCGAGGGGGCCGGCGCTGGCATCGGCGGGGGGCGCAGCCTTCTTCTCCTTCTTGGCCTTCTTCTTCTCATCGCCGCCGATTGTGGCCTTCTTGAGGGCTTCTGTGACCTTCTCGACCTTCTCCATGGTGACGATTTTCCCGGACTGTCGGCGTGTGGTGTAGTGGGGGTGTTGGTTGTAGGTTGGACGGAAGTTTGTTCGAGGGCGATGGCAAAGACCTAAGTAGGAATATTCTGCGTCCCTGAAACCAAGTTCGGGGACCTGTCAGCCAATCCGTGAGTCACGGTCCGAGAGCAACTTCAGACGAGGACAAGGGATGGGCGGGAGCAAGATGTCCTGTGGTGGTGGAGGGGCTCCAGTAAATTTGACTGCTACCCCGCGGTCGATAGGGGATCGCGGGCAGGGATTGCCGGCTGGAACGTCTGAGCGGGGCTGTCTGCAGCAAGCCAAGGGCAAACGGGCTCAAGAACGTTGAGGAGCTCGGGCCACCCGGGACGCTATCGAGGAATTATTAGCCACTGATAAGCATTTCTAATAAATGAGCCGGGCCCTTGACGGGATGACGCGCTTTGCGCCTGCGCAAGTACCGCAGACTAACAGAGTAAGGTTTGCCAATGGCAGACAAATTCATCGTCTTGAGAGCACCCCCGTTCCTGCGACTTCATGAACGGCCGCCACCTGTATAGAGTGCTCCCAGGTCGACACCCCCCGCCGCGCCGTCTCTCCCATCTCGCTCCGACCCGGGCGGCCCTGTTCTTCTTCTCGTCTCGCCCTTCGACTCTGGTACGATGACCCGACTCTCCGACTTCCCCGATGAAATAATTCGTCACATCCTTCACTTCGTGTCTGCCGAAGACAACCTCCGCAATTTCCAGCTGGTTTCGCGACGGCTACACAACATCGCGAACGAGCCTCTCCTGTGGCGAACTTACTGTCTCCAGCATTTTCACTTCTGGGACCCAGACCACGAGCTGGAGAAGAAGCTCAAAGCCAGGGCGTCTTCGGTTGGCTGGAAGAAGATATGGCTCAAGAGGAGGCGGACAAATCGTGAAGTGGAACGGCTCTTGGACGGCATCGTCAAGACGACCAGAGGCCAGGTCCGAAGCATCGCGACGATTTGTGAGCAGGGCCTGGATGCCAAGGACTACCTTTTGGATCAGCGCTTCACCGACGAGTCCGACAACTATGTTCTGGCGAGGAGATACTGGGCGCAGGCAGCATTGGACAGTCTCCACAGAGGGCTAGCTGTGGATGTATGGTCCAAGTATCAAGGGCGTCTTGACAGCAGGCAAGGTCTTGATATTGCCCTTGGGGCCTTTGACATGTTTGTTCTGCATGATCAAACGCATGACTTAGACTATGTAAGTGGTTTGAATCTATGGCTAAAGAGCGTAGCTAACCCCCTCGCCAGATCGTTCAGGCTCTGGATGATTATGCCGCTCAATACATCAGGGAGCACCCGCAATCGAAAGGGTTTAACACGAGAGACAAGGCCATCAATTTGGTTCGCTGGCTCCGGTTAAAAAATTACATTGGCGCTGAGTTTCCAATCAGCGACTACCGCAAGCTGCAGCACTGCCTGATCGGGCACGCGCTCTCTGAGAGCGAGCACACTTCGCTCCCCCTCATTGCAGGCGCCATCTTTGTTTGCGTAGCCCAACGGCTAGGGATCAACACTGCCTGTCTCAACTTCCCGGGACATGTCTATGTGAGTGTGGAGCCACCTGCCGGCGAGGACCTGGACGGCGAACTTGTATGGGGTAGAAAGCGACCAACGGCACTACACCGCATGTACCTTGACCCTTTCAGTTCAGATCACGAAATTCCCATTGATTATCTTCGCGCCAAATTAGCCGAACATGGCTGGCCCAGTAATGATGGCTCTGCCAGCTTTCACCCGTCCCCGGTTCCCATCGTCGTCCAGCGCATGGCTAAGAACATCAAAACATCCTGGGCCGAAGTGTATTCCCTCCCCGAAAACGATCCCAAGATAACCTCCACGGGCCGCCTCCGAAGCGGAGTTCCCCTCCGTAATCTTAACACGGCCAGATACGCTGCCATGTGGGCCGAACTCATCACCAAGGACCCTTCCAACCTCCGCTGGAGCGACACTATGTCCAACCTTTTGAATGAATGTTTCCAGCACTGGCCTGAGGACCTCTGGATTATTGAAAGATATCTCCTGCCAGTGTACAAGCGTCACGAATCAGCTGTCAGGAACTTGAATATTGTTCACCGTGCCGGATGGCAGCACGTTCCGGATATTATCCGGATGATGAACAATCTCGACAGTCGGGGCTCGACCGTCTGTCACCGAAGGTATACAGAAGACATCCATCGGACGGTGCGCTACAAGATCGGACAAGTTTTCCGTCACAAGAGGTATGGGTATGTGGGGGTTATCAACGGCTGGAGGACCAGGCAAATGCGGCTGCCAGAGCCTCATACGGTTTCTTTCCAGGATGCACAGGAAGAAGGCGGCAGGCTCGAAATGTTTGAGGGAAGATCCGGCCACAGGCAGGCTGATAAGATATTTTACACCTGCGTGTAAGTGTTTCCTTTAGCCGTCTACTCAATCTTTCATGGGCTGTGTGGCTGACCAGTCTAGGAGGCCGTCATATTCTCGACTCAGGATTGCGCAGGAAAATGTCGAAATCATCACTGATCCATCACTAATCCCAGACGAGCTTTTCACGGCGGCAGGGAAGTACTTCAAGAGGTTTGATCGAGAGACTTGTACGTTTGTATCAAACATTAGGGAATACTATCCTGACGATTGAGTCGTCGGATTTCTTTTTGGTTTCTTTTTGTTGGGAAGGTTGTTGGCCCCCAGGACGGGACAACAACTGGGAATGGGAAAGGGGGTGGTGGGTGGTGTATCACAAAACAATATATATATACCCAGGGAAAAAGACAAAGGTGGGAAAGGGGTAAGGGCAAGGGGCGTAACATTGGCAAAGCGGATTCGGGAAAAAGTCTCTCCACTTATCACTACTGTTCTTTTTTTCAGTTCTTTTTTTGATATTCTTTTTGATGTTTTATTAGCGAAGTATGGGCCTTGCCAGCAATAGGACGGTGGTCTGGCTTGATTGTTGTAATGATGTGTTTTGCTCCAGTAGGGGTTTAATATGAAGGGAAATCTGTTTGGGAAGCTTTTGATGTTATTTTGTGATTTTCTGATCTCGAAGCACTGTATACCATAGCGATTCTGCAAGATCGTGTCACAATTGGTAGCCTTTTTATGAAAGAAAGTTGGGATGATTTGTGTGAAGATGTAGCCAAGATAGAAAACGACGGGGGGAGGGGCCGAACAACGCCACAACTGCAAGACATGTACATGTACATACCAAGCTATGCTCATTCTCAGTCAAAAGGGGGGCCATCGAAAAGCAACTTTCTCCGTTTTTCGTCCACGAGCAAAGCATTTTCCGTGTGTAACCAACTCATCTCTTCCGACTTTGGTAGACATCTTAAAGAACAGTGGCTTGTATATGCAGGCCCCTTTCAAACAAAACACGGCAAAAAGGTTTCTGGAGAAATAGTTTTTAGCTTTCAAAATCCATGAGATCATACCATACACTACACTACACTACACTATTGCTCGTCAAGAAAAAAACTGCTGGTAATATTTTTCTGCACACAAGACACACATACTTCCCATCATCATTAATGAACCCAGAAGTAGAAACATTGTATATTTGCTTGCTAGATACCTACCTTAGATAGTGTGACCCGGAAAAAAGAAAAAGGGTCCATAGAAGTGGGGGGGGGGCCGTACCACTCAAGATCCCTAATTCCCCTCCTCCAATCTAACAACAAACAAAGCAATCAGCAATCAGTCAGCATGGCAGAGTGGTCTAATGCGTTAGACTTGAATAAATCATCCACATTCAGGTATCTAATTCCTTCGGGAGCGTAGGTTCGAACCCTACTGCTGACGACAATCTTTTTTCGCATTTTTTCTTTTCCCTTTTTACCAAACAAACCCCCGATACAATCAATCAACCCCCCAATCGCCTTTTCCTCTAGAGAGGACCTCATCGTCCTCTTGCAACGGTGTCTAAATCGTCATGTATTTCTCAAAGCGATGCTTCCATGATCTGGGTGCTCAAACTCCCAAAAGCTTTTCAGGATTATCTCTACAAAAAACATGCCAACAGCATCGCTAATACTTCCCAAGTCGCAAATCTACTATGTACTACTTACTCCCTGCATGTCTTTCCCCCCCCCCTTTTCTGGTCTGTATACCGTATCCCCCTGAGAAAGTAAAGCAAACAAAACTCCAATGCATGCATGCATACCATCTCGACAATCATGAATGCTAGGTCCCAAATAAACTCCTTCGAATAACACCCATACCCGAATAATGACGAACAAAGATAGAAATGGGGTATGCTAAAGTTCCAAAAACCGCCCATGACTGAGCAGTGAATTTCCCTGTTAGTAGTAGTTTCCTACTCCGTCACCTCCCCCAGCTTGATACCCTTCCCCGCCACCCCCCGGGCCACCACCCCCGTACCCCCCGCTGTTATTACCCGGCTTGTTGTTTTGCTGGTAAAACCCCGGGTTCGAAGGGTTCGATGGCCCTTTGGGTATAGGCTGCTGAGTATCCTCATACATGGCCGCGAATCCTCCCTGGCTATCTCTGCCACCGACATCATCAAGCGACTTGTAATGATGGTGGTGGTGACCTCCTCGATCTCCTCCACCGCGACCGCCGCGGGCCCCCTTAGCTGCGCCGCCTCGCTGGCCTCGGAAATTTCCACCACCTCCCCTACCACCTCCCCGACCGAAGCCACCACCACCACCTCTGTTCCCACCACGTCCACTGGGAGTTGAGAAGTTATTCTGGCTATTGTTGTTATTCCTGCCGCCGCCACCACCGCCCGGGCCGGTCGGAGGGTTGTGATGGTGATGTCCAGTTCCCTGCCTCGACCTGAAATCATCCTCGTGAGAGGTATGTTTCCTCTTCGCCCCTCTAGGCTGAAAGTGCCCGCCATCATACGAGCCCTCTCTATGACTCGTAGGTTCAATCCGCAGCAGCACCTTCTCCGCAACCGTAGTCTCAAACACGAAAGCCTGGCCCGGGGACACCGGCTTCCAGTTCTGGATCTTTGCTGCGTCCGCATGCCTCGCGCCCCGCCTAAGAGCGAGAACGACCAATGGGACTGGGTTCCCGGTGTGGTATGACGCATTTGCTGGGACCGGCTTCAACGATACAGCCCAGACGTTGTCCTCGAAGCACGCCGTACCGCTGACCTGCCATTTCATCTTGTTGCCGTAACCGCCGACTTTGGAAAGGATGTCCCTTGGACAAGGGCGAGGACAGATCATGATGTTGTTGCCATGAAACTTGATTTCGCTGTCGGGAACATCGGGAACTTGTATTAGATCCAGTAGTCGTTCGGTATCGGCGCTTGTGATAAGATAACCCGTCCAGAAGACCTGTTTCTTGATCACCCAGCGCTCGCCTCGGAAGCCGCGTCGTTTCTTAGTCAGTGACGCGTTGTGATCTCTGATGATGGAATGAACCTCTGCCACTTCCACTACCGGGTCGAGATAGGCGGCTATGTCGGCGACATGAATAACGTCTCCATCGATCGGACCTCTGGTTGGCGACATATTCTGCTTCCGGTTGAAGTTCTCCAGAAAAGTCTGAAAGCTCTTAACATGCTTTATCCTGTCCTCGTAGATCCGAATCTCTTCCGCGTATCTGTATGTCTCCATCAACGCTTCCAAAAACTTCTCCTTGAAAATGAGGGTGCTGGCGAAATGCTGCTGGTCGGGACCGACGGCGGGTTTCAGACAGACCATGTCGAACTCGAGTCCTCTGCTGTTTACTATCCGCTTAACCAAGTCGCTAAAGCCGGACTCGGATCGACCTGTCAACAGAACGCAGAGGGCGTCCTTCTGCTGTGTGCTCAATCGTACGAGCTCAACAATCTTTTCGTTCCACCACCCCTCCCATGCGCGCGGTTCCTCCTTTGCTATGCCTTCGCCGGTGGCGGCTAGGATGCGAGAGTCGTGCCACCACCCGCCATTCACGAATGCGTCGGGGTTCGAGAGGGTACCTATCGTCGGGTTGTTCCAGATCTTGGGGTTGGGTAAGGGAGTTTTGAATACTGGCGCGCGGCGCGTTCTGTTAGCTACCCGGCCATATCTGAGGACCCAGCAGGGCACGACTCACGAGTATTGTCGAAGTCGTAGATGTGGATTGCTTTGATCTTCTCGGCGGCTGTATTTGATACGACGTTAGCACTCAACTGAAGCTGCGTGGACTGGCGACTCTTCAAGATGATGCGAACCTGGAAGCTGCTTGTTGATGATGGACCATCTGCCTATCGCGGTCACAGTATGCTGGGGGTTCGCAGCATGACTGTTCCCATTGACATGGCCGGCGCTGGCAGAGGCGCCATTATGGAAGGCGGCATAAGCTGAGGTTCCCATGACTTGTAATCTCTGTCAGAACTTCTGGAAACTGTGTTGCGGGGACGAAAACCGTCGAGAGATCATCTCGTGCGACGGCGAAAGGCTGAGAGTGATGGACTTGGCGCTAACAATTTCACTGTTTGCCTTGCTCCAGGTCTGCATGGATGTCCGGGATCAGTGGGGCGAGCCATAGGAATGCCAGGTTTTAAGCTTGAAGCGGTAGCCTCGATATGCATATACCGGGTGCGAGCTGAATCACTGATAATTGCATGTATGCGACCTCATGTCCGCTGGGATGAAACGACCCGAGATCAGAGTCGCTGCTTTTCACCTGTACTGAGATGGCTGAGTAGATACTGTGGCTAGTGGTATATGCCTCTCAGTTGTAATGGAAAACGCAAGCCAAATCTTTTTCGCGAAACCAACGCCTAGAATGAACCACCCCATGCAACGCCTTGCCCTAGTTTATGGTCTACCGAATCATCGAGTGTACCGTATGTAGAACCATTGCAGATCATGAATGAAACTGGGTATAAACACTCCTTCAAACCATATCAATCTCCATATCCATCTTGGGCTTCACAGGCCCGTTGTCAACCCCAAGTCCCGAGGCGGCATTCGCCTCCTTGTGAGTGAAAGCGCCATCCTTGAGCTGCTTCAGTCTATTAATCTTGTTAGCATGTCCGTACTTTGAGAGCAGCCGTTCAGTCACCACTTACTGTCTTCTGTGAGGCTTCCCCTTCTTGTGAGCGCTCAGGTTGGTCTCAGTGTCGAACCACTTGGCACATGGGATGCAGTAATGTTGCCCCAGACCGGGCAGATCCTCCACATCCTTGGTCTCATGGTAGAGCTCCAGGTGTCTTGGAGAAGCAATATCAGAGGCGATCTGATCGAGGTCTCTGTGAACAGTGTTAGTTGAGATGCTGTCTTCGAGTACAGTCCGTGCAACATCACTGACCGACGTCTCCGCCTCGTCTTGGTCATCGAACGCTTTGCAAAGACACCCATTTTGACGTCGAATTCCAGATATCCCAGGCTGGTTAAGCAGATCTCAAGGTGCAAATGCGTGGTGGGCTGGATGGTCTCAGCCTGCAAACCAGATAGATGTCAATTGTGAGCGTGAGGCAAGATTTTGGTAGTAGCATTTTTCTGTGCTACACTAAGGTAGATGAGGCCCGAGCTTCTTTGGCGGGGCGCCGTTATGCCCAAACACTTCAACAACGCTCTTTTTGGAGCCGCACTCTTAATAGGAGTGACTTCTCATGGACATCATATTAACTTCTGAAGCCATCGCCAAGCTCAACTTTGCCGTCGCAACTCGAAACCCCGCCGCCGCTCCAAAGCTGAGCGGCATCCGGAGCTATAGGATATCGCCCTCGAATCTCCATGTCTCCGCCGAGCGGTTCAAAGACCGAGCCGCAAGAACCCCCGGGCGGCCCCACTCTTGGGTCTCCAGGTTCGCAGAAATTTCCTTGCGCCCGCGCGCCAAGACGTCTTGCTATTTTGGCGCCATAACGTTTAAAGTACCCGCTCCACGAAGCCGGGAGACCCGTTTCGGCTCCCACCAGACGCCGAAACCGTCACGAACTCCAACGACACGACGAGCTGGCCGTGAGGACAGCTGTTTCTACCTGATCAAGTCCTTCCGGCGCACCGACGGATATACCGGTGTCGTTGTGGCGGCTAGCCATCTTTATACACGACGACAAGGCGGCATGCGGGGTTACGATCAACGGGGCTGTTGCGTCACTTTTTTTAGCCTTGCAGGGTTGGCGAGAGGCTCTTATCGCGTGCCACCCCGCCTTCTTTGAGGATGCGGTCCATGTCTGACATGCCTTGACGCAAGCTTGCGGTCTGTCTTTTCTTCATAGCGCCGTGTTAGTGAGCGAGGTCTAGACACCTGGAGCTGCGGAAACTGTCTTCCAACCTCGAAGACTTGTCATATGGCTGCTCCAAGCTGAGGTTGGAGTGGCCGACGATTGGTTATAGCTCCCCCGGCATTGGCCAGAATGCTTATAGAAGGCCCCACGTGGGGAACCCTGGAATGGATTCAAGCTCGGTGAACCGGCGAAAAGCATTGCGGGTTTTCGCCGTGATGGAAATGAAGCTCATTAGAACATATCTAAGGAGGCTTCGATCTCACCCAGCGCTTGTTGGCGGCTTGATGAGAGGCACATGAGGCAGCTGCAGCACATGTCATCGACACCGCAGCACCACCAAGCCTCAAATACCCCCGGTCGTAACCTCCGGCTTGAAACAACCACAACCCCCATGAAGCTGAAACATGTAAAAATTGCCCATGTTTGAATACAGGAAGAGAAGCCTCTTTGTTGCCTCGTTGCCAATACTGCTAGGAATCAGGAGGAAACAGGTCGCTGCCTCGGCTATTCGTGCTCGCGTCGGTCGGAGTCTAGGAGCTGTCGCTACCTTTCATCCGATATCCCTGCCCCTCATTGGCAGGAAAGCAAGGTGTCTGCGAGGCCAGGTACCGCTCGCAGCTGCAGCCTCCTT